TACCTCGACTTTGAGAACCTCCACCCCTACCTCCACCTCGGCCGCCATGACCTCCACCACGTCCACCACCACCACCTCCATAACCACTGTCCCCTCCATATCCTCCATAGCCACCACCACCACCTCCTCCTCCTGCGTAACCTCCACCATATCCACCGCCATATGAAGGCTGAGCAGCTTCCCCTCCGTCTTGACCGTACATCCTTTAACGATGTATCTAGGGCTTCTACTTTTTCTTATTCCTCTTCAAGAAAAAACGAGAGAGAGAGACTTAGGGCATAATAAAAATTATGTGAAATGTGTGGCAGTATCGAATAAAATAAAAAGGCCGTCTCCTGAGGCCTTTTTTTTGCTCCTTAGCCAAAAGAGGGACTAATAGTTTCCGCATTTTTTCTTCTGTGCGGTTACTCGCATACAATTCCTTGATCTAACGGTTCTGATGACTTCTGCGTGGAAAAACGATGGGCGTACATTTATTAGCATTTAGAAGGCTTGCACGCGTACTTATCGATTTTAAAATTTTAAAAATCTAAATAATTAATTTTAAAAAAAATTAATTAAATCAATTAACTTATACTTTAAAAATTGAAATAATCTAAATAGATTTTCATTTTATTCAATTGGATAGGCTTTATTATCTTTTTATATTTATATTATAAATTAATAATGTTTATACATAAATATATATTTTATATAATATATTATAACGTAATGATGGATCTTTTTGAAATTGATTAAAATAATTGAACCGAATCAAGTAATCGATTAAAATTAAAACTAAACAAATTGAACCAAATTCAATCAGTTTTAATTGATTTATTCGGTTGAAATCGATTAATCCTTACCTTTGATTATTTACTTTTGTTGAATAATTTTTAATTGGTTTTTAAATATGCTTTTACTTCCTTTCTTTACAATTGAATAATCTTCTGTCTACAACAGACTAAAAAGGTTGCATGGAAGGAATGGCATACTGCTGTGCTTTTCATGCAAGATGACTCAAACTCTTTAGGAGGAAAAGTAACACTACAAACTCAAATATGACCAAGCACAATCAAGAGGGATAACAGCAAAAGAGAAAAGGGAATGTTCAATGATCCAAATCTTTGTTGTCAGATCATCACTTTGATGCTATACTTGGATTAGAAAATCTTTTCAAATGAAAGGGTCAGAAACAACCTCAAAATGAACTGCCAATAGACAAAACTTGGAGGTCAATTTCCAATTCCCTCCGTCCTTCTCTTTCAACTGGAAATCAGAAACAAAGAAAGCTTTGGGACTGATCTAAATGGCATACATCACAAATACCACAGCAACAAGCCTGATGCAACTTTAAAAACATGGAGGATCTACTATGTGAAATACCAATAAGCATGCAAAGAGGTAGGGAATTAGCAATATTATCCGTTGAAAGAGATATGCCTCATGAATAGAAGTTGAATGAGAAGTTTGTAGCTCAACAAAGAATCTGCAGTTACCAACCGACGGATCAACAGTGGTGATGAGACCAAACCCCCCAAAATCACAGCTGTCTGCCCTTTGATCATGCTGCTGGTAGTAGCTATTAAATGCATATGATATATTACCAGGCCAACTGATATTGGAACAGGAACCACCAGGAGACAGCACAGTACAATCAGACACAGAACACGCCTCCAAAGCACTTGCAGTTGCATTAGACAAATCTTTGTTATTGTTTACAACACACCATTTTGAAGGAAGGTATTCAACAAATTGAGCATTCACAAGGTTTTTTGAACCCTGGCCAAAGTTAACATGGTACTTGGCTTGGCCATCAAACGTGAACACACCCCAATGTCTTTCAAAATTTCCAGAGGTTATGCTTCGCTGGTCCTCATCTAAGAGGCTAAATATGAATGTTTCTATTGGTGGATTCTTAGGTCTGAGCGGAGTTCCAGTCTTGCTATGAAGGTGATCAATGAGGCCTTTCATAAATGTCTCAGCAACAGATGTGGTTGCATTGGCTGCTCCATCAGTAGGCCAACCAATGCGTGCAACAACTATATCCATTTCTGGAAACCCAATCTTTGATAATGCAGTAACAAGGGTATCGTAGCTTAAGTCAAAGCTGTTTTTGTATGTTCTATGGCTGTCATTATGAGGGCGCACATTTTCTTTGAAAAGAGAAAAGTCGAGGGATATGTTCTTGCTCTGTTGGAAACTTATAAACGGAGAAATAGTCACAAAGAAAGGAGAGTGATATTTGCTGAGAAATGTCAGTAGTTCGATCATGGTTTTGTTGAGGTCAGCCCTGAAGTGTCCTTTTGAAGGCAGGCTGGATTCTGCCATGAAGGTATCAAAACTACATGGAACAACAACTTTAACTTCGCTTGCCAAGTTTGCTTTTGTTAAAGCTGCTTGGATGTTCATGGCTGCTCCAATGACAAAAGGGTGAAATTGCTCACCATAACTTTGGAGAAATGGTTCATCTCCAACAGCAACATACCTACAATAGGTCCACTCAGACATACACACAGAAAAAGAAAAACTCTAAAGCAAAATCTATTATATTAAAAGGAAAAAAGAGCTTTACTCAGGAAAAAATTATCCCAATCCATAACGATCAGACAAAATTTTACCACTAGCTATGAGAAGTAAACCCTCAAAACAGGTGGAGTTACTCTTGAAGACAAAATGATTAAGAAATAACACATAATCACAAATACTTTGCATCACTATGTTGTTTGAGATGGTCATTTATTCACAAAATCATTGGACTGAACAAAGATATTGGTCTGTCCTTGTGTTTCATTGCCGTTTGACGTTCTAGCAGGAAAAAAAAAATCCCAATGCCAAACCATAGAAGTCTGATAGAACTTAAATATGTTTGTAATGAAGAAGAGAATTTTGGTGCTGAAGACATAGATATGTAGTGACCAAGCTAATAGGAAGAATCTTAATCATCAAAGACAAACCCGATGATCAAATTTCAAGCGCACAGCAGAATCTTTAGCGGCTTCTCTAGTGTTTCAAACCCTAACATCAAAAATTAAATGAAGATCCTAATGCCCAAACAAGAAAAATGCATGCCCCATTATCAAAAACAGAAACAAATATATGCCTCAAAACCAAACCATGGATTGAAGTCTAAATCCGAGAAGCAAAAGAACCAAGCAGGGGGAGCAAGAAACATACTCAATCCGAACTCCAGCTCGACCATGAGAAAAGTAGCGGGTGACATTATCATGGACCCAACTCTCAGCAGCTTTCCTGGAGGAGTTGAGAGCTTTGAGCATGGAATTAGGGATGCCCACGGTGACAGCAATGTTGGAGCCAGAGAGCGCTTGCAGCACGAGCGGCTCGGCATCAAAGAGCTTGACTTTGGAGACGTTGTTGGACTTCAAGAGCTCCACCACCTTGGTGCCGGAGAGGGTGGGAAGACATGGCACCCCAGTTGACCCCAATCGCTCCAGCTGTAGACCCAAGGAGGCATGGAAATGTGAGGACCAGGAGGAGTATTAGGAAGAGATTTTGAGGCAGCATACGAGTGTATTGAAAAAAGCTTTTGGGTTTTTGGTTGGTGGAGTGAAGAAGAAATGGGTGTGCTCTGTTTTTCTTGGTGGGCTTTTCGCTTTCAAGAAATAAAGGTGGCTCTCGCAACCATGAATGCCAGTCTGCAACCTGTCTCCATTTGCCTTTTAGGATTGTTTTTACTTTGCCCTTTTTAGCTGCATGTACTTTCTGTATTTTTCTTTTGGGTTTTGATTAATGTCATTTTCAGTATTTTTTTTTCTTTTTTTCAGATTTTTTCAAGAAATGTATCCTCTTTTTAACAAATAATTTTAAATTCTTTTTTACCAAAGTTACTTATCAAAAAATTTTAATTTTAATTTTAATTTTTTAAATATTATGCATCAATTACCGAATCAAAATACATACACGTAAAATTTTATATTTCAATTCTTGTCTATTTTTTTGTTTATTTTCTCATTTTATAATGTCTTAAAATGAGAAGTGTTTTCTTCTATTTTTATGATTTTTATATTAAAATAATTGAAAAATAAAAATAATTATTTTCTATTTCTTAGTACCTTTTATTTTAAAAGCCTTAAAAGGACTTTTTTTTAAATCAATTTTCCCTCCTTTTTTTATATACTTTTTCAAATATTCAATGTGTGCCAACCACCTTGGTTGAATGCATTAATTTCAATCCTCCATTGCTTTAAGAGAGAGACGACTTCACTTGATTTGACTCAACATTTGACAACCTAAGAATTATATAGTTACTTGTCAAAGTAGATAATTGGCATTTGTTAGGAGAAAGAGATAAAAGAAGAGAAGGCATAAGACAAATGGGCAATACCTTTTTACATACAAATCTTAAGGAAAAAGAATAGGGAAAAGGGTATTTAGGAATGATTTGAAATACCGTACAAAATAACAAACAAAATGAGTGCATTTAAAAGAAGAAAAGGAGAGTCTAAATAGTTTTCACTTCGTATCATTTGATAAACTTGACTAAAGTTAGAATTTTTACAAATTTTTAATGATTATATATATATAGAATGTATATAAGTACTAATTAATGATTTGATCTTATTTAAAAAAATTAGTAAGGTAAAAAATCATTTTAAGTAATTGGATTCTAAAGTCCAAATGTTGCAATGGAAAATTGAATTTATACTTAAAAATTAATTGTACTTTCTTGTTTTTGTTTTAAAATTCATTAAACTTAAAAACGATTTTGTCTTGAATATTTAGATTTGAAACGTCTAAAAGATTTTAAATTTTAATTATTAAAAATATTCTTTCATATTTTTTATGGAAATATGAAGCACAGAAAAAAAATAAAAAGCTTATACCAATTGATTTTTTTTAAAATAAAATAAATTAATTTCTTTTACTTTTGATTGTAATTATAAATAAGTTTATTAATTTTCAAATGAATACTCTTTTTCAAAATAATATTTTGATATATAAATTATGTTATTAATCAATTATTAATATTTTTATTAATTTTAAAAAATATTATTATATAAATTATGATTTTAAATTTTTAATTTTTTCTTTTTTTAAAAATAAAAATCTCCACTGACCACTCGTGATTGGTGACACTCTCCAACGGAGCTGACGGTGCTCTCCAAGGAGATTCAGTTACGGGGTAACGTAAAGTAGCATCGCCGACCAACTTGATAAGAAAGAAAAAGGACAAAAATAAAGATATTTTAGGATTTTTTATCATTTATGAAATAAAACTAATATAAGAAAAATAAAAATAAAAAACTTGAAAAAATATCTGAATTTTGAAATGGGAATACACTTTGTTAAATAAAAAACATCCAAAATTAGCAAAATCACTATCTTCAAGGAAACTGGAGCTTGGGTCACGCGGACCACGAGCCAGCCACGCGCCCTCTCTACTTTAATCAATCCTAACCATCCACATATTTCATCATCAACGGTCACGAATTCCCCTAGCCACCTAGATATATCCTCCCCACCGCATTCACTCTGCCACCTTCGTCGCTTCATCTCCATTTCCCCATCCATTCAATCTCTTCCTGGAAACAAAAATGCTTCTAACCAAATCTTGTTCTTTCTCTGTTTCTTCTTCATTCTTGCGAAGAGAGAATGTCGGTTTATCTCGTCCGTGTTCTTCGTTGAAGTACTCAAACGGGTTGATCCATGCTGTGAAGTATCCACAGAGGAAGGATGGTGGTGTTGGGGGTGTCGTTTTGGCTTCAAAAGAGGCTAACAATAGACCCGTTTTGGACGTAGTGTTCGAGCCATTCGAAGAAGTGAAGAAAGATCTTCTTCTTGTCCCTACTGTCCCACAAGCCTCTCTCGCTCGCCATAAGTACACAGGCCAGTGCGAGACTGCCATTAATGAACAGATCAAGTCAGTTTTTCCATGACCCTTTCCTTAGCTCTGTACTTCCTTTTCTTATTCTAATCCTTCTGTTTCTTGCAATGTTTTCATTTCCATGAAAACCACGGAGTGCCCAAAGATTGAAAATGAAAAGTAATCTGCCGCATGCATTCCTTTTCATAAATCCTTTTGGTATTTTTGTCTCTTTGAATCTGTCAATATTTTTAATCAGTGGAAGAAAAAATGATGGGGGTCTCTTTATTTGTTGAAGATTCTTCTCATAATCACAAAATAAAAGGTTTCTGTTTACTTAATCAGTGTGGAGTACAGTGTCTCTTATGTGTATCACGCCATGTACGCCTATTTCGACAGAGACAATGTTGCTCTCAAGGGCTGTGCCAAGTAATGTGTTGTAAACCCAAAATCTCCCGGATATATTTGGCTCTTCTATATACCATTTGTTCAGTCTTAGGTAGTCCATCTTTGTGATTACAGATTCTTCAAGGATTCAAGTGTTGAAGAAAGGCAGCATGCTGAGAAGTTGATGGAATACCAGGTGAATGTTGCTGTGCATCATATTCGTTTAACTTGTAAACCTTTCCTGTCTCATCATGCCTTAACTCATTCTGTGCTCATTATCAGAACAAACGAGGAGGAAAAGTTCAGCTGCAGTCCATTCTGTTGCCCCTATCAGAATTTGATCATGCTGAGAAAGGCGATGCACTTTATGGTTAGTTTTGTGTTTTGGGCATTGATAAATGATTTAGGTGTACATGAATCCGTGAAATTTTGCAAATGAACAACTCTTGTTCCGATGTTGTGAACTTGTGGTAGCACTGTGCTTGCTTGACTGCATATGAATTTCCCTGCTCTCTTTGGATGAATAAAATAGCATATACCCAAAAAAAATGTACATAAGAATTTGATTTCTACAGATGATACAGCATGTAGATAGCATGGATGAAATCATCAACCCAAACCACAATTTATTGCAGTAGTACAGTAATGAAAGCACTCATTCAAGATAAGACACCTGGGGAGTGGGGGGAGGGGGGAGGGGGAAGGGGGGAAGAAGTTTTTACACATTGTGAGCTCAGCACTTCTGTGCCCTTGCATTCAAGTCTTTAACAGACAGTGCTGCATGACTGCCATTCATATGCAAAGAGGCCCATACAAGAATTTGTATGATTAACTTGATGAAATTGATATGCCTCGATGTCAATCTTTGGCTTCCTTAATTACTGCAGTTCTTTTCAAGTTGTTTTATCTTGCTCCTCTTTGGTACTAATGTCTTACAATTTTTGTTTCAGCAATGGAACTTGCATTGTCCCTGGAAAAGTTGAACAATGAGAAGCTTCTAAATTTACACAAAGTACGTCTCTTTTTCTCTCTTGAACCCAAAGATAAATTTCATTTTGCCTTTGCAACTTTCAAATAGAATCATCAGTAGTGTTTTTCATGGAACTTATCACATGAAGCATATATAATTAAATTACATTCTTAATCTTACAGATGGCTAATGAAGTAAACGATGTGCATCTGCTAGACTTCATCGAATCCGAATTCTTGACTGAACAGGTGAAGTAACCACTCAGACTTCTGCTTCTTCCTTAGAAGAATATCATTCTTCAGTCATCCGGTTATATTAGTTTTGCTTACATTGAACCAATTTCTATCTTCCAATTAGGTTGAATCCATTGAGAAACTCTCACAATATGTCTCTCAGTTGCGGAGGGTGGGCACAGGACATGGTAATTCTTAATTGCGTTGTTTCACATCATAATACAATTTGAAGAAATCATTTACATCATGCCTAAACACATAATTAAGGTGAACCCAGAGTTCAGTTTTCCACTGACTTCAAATTCTATTGCATTCATGGTGTTGCAGGTGTTTGGCACTTTGATCAGATGCTCAGCCATGATCTGTTGGCTGCATGATGAAGAATTACAGAATAAACTTTAGTACCATATCAGTTTTCCCTCCCCACTTAACTTTCCGCATGTGAGAGTGAACTTCCTGAAGTACCTATGTTGGTTATGTTTGGTAATAGATTTTATGATGCTTTCCCAAAGATAGTTCTTAATGAAAAAACAAAAGGCCATTTCTGTATGGTACTATATCATACAATTACATGGATCTGGAGATAAACTAACAGAATTGATAAAAATTTACAATGTTCATTTCATAAAATATTTCAATTTCCTTACGTTTATTTACGAATCTACGAATTCGCAAGATATTTCAATTTCGTTATTTTTTATCTACAAATCAATGATATTGAAAATATAATAACAAAAAATTCAATCAAAATTTAAGTAAGGTGACAATTTTCACCTTAATATCTATATTCTCTTAAAATATTTTTAATGTTTTAAAAATCTTAAATAATATTCTTGAAAAATAAAAATCATTAAAGCTTTCTCATATTAAAAAAATTAAAAGTACACCAGAAACAAATTTATTTACTCCAACAAGAAAAGAAAATCATGGGTAACGGGCCACGGCCCATTATACAGGAAAAGGCCAATTCAACAAGAGAATCTGACACCTTTTATCGACGGCCTTTAACTTAAAACAGACGGAAAAGCCGAAAAGAAAGAAAATATCGCTAGCTTTCAACACTGCATCAACAGTCACTCAATCTCCAGTGCCAGAGCAGCTAAGAGAATCGGTTTAGAGATGTCGACACAGAGGGAGGTAGTGTGCGTAACCGGAGCCAGTGGCAGCATCGGCTCTTGGCTCGTCAAACTCCTCCTGGCTCGCGGCTACACCGTCCACGGGACCGTCAAAAATCTCAGTTACTTCATTTTCATCGTTTTTTTTTCCCGAATGTTCTTCATTTTCCAAGCCTTCCGATGAGGAATTGAAGCTAATTTCATTTTCTTCGCCTTTTTCCCTGTTGCAGAGGATGAGAAAGAAACGAAGCATCTGGAATCTCTAGAAGGAGCGGAGTCACGTCTCCGCCTCTTCCAGATCGATCTCCTCGATTATGATTCGATCGCCGCCGCGATCAACGGCTGTGCTGGTGTCTTCCACCTCGCCTCTCCCTGCATCGTCGACCGAGTTCACGACCCTCAGGCATCCGCGCGCTCGCTTAACTAATTATATTATTTTTTCAAATATTAGCTGTAGGAGATTATAGTTACTCTTATGTTTGTTTAACAGAAGGAGCTTTTGGATCCTGCAATTAAAGGAACGCTCAATGTACTGACAGCTGCCAAAGAGCTCTGTGTTAAGCGCGTGGTCGTCACGTCTTCCATCTCCGCCATTACGCCCAGCCCGAACTGGCCAGCAGATAAGATCAAAGCAGAGGATTGTTGGTCTGATATCGAGTACTGCAAGCACAATGAAGTAAGTTTTTTGTTTCTCTTATATGGCTATGTTGTTATGGAACCTTGTAAGGAAACAATGGGGCTGATCAAAAATGGATTTTGGTCATTGTTGGTTGAGCTAGTTATGGTATTCAATTTCTAAAACACTAGCTGAGAAGGCGGCATGGGAATTCTCCAAGGAGAAAGGTTTGGATGTGGTGGTGGTTAATCCGGGCACCGTGCTGGGCCCTAATATTCCTCCAACCCTTAATGCTAGCATGTTGTTGTTCTTACGCCTTCTGCAAGGTAATATTTTTCTCAAGCTACATTGTTATTAGTTGCATTTTCTGTTCAAATGGGCAGAATTGAATAAGATTCTGTAAGGTCTATGTGTTGCATTTGATCAATCTCAAAATTCATCTCTCTAGATAGATGGAATGAATTTTGTGCTCTTAGCTTGCCAATTGATTTTGACAGAGTCCCTATTAGTTTGGTTTTTGTTAATGTAAGAAATTGGATTAGACCTTATTTGTTTGAAGCTTCATTGTCAATTGGTGTGAAACTTTTACTGCTTGTCGGAGGCCAGGTTGCTCGCTGTATCTTTGGATGCTGAGTGACATATTAGTCCACCATTTTGCACCATATCTGGAAAAAGTACCATTAGCATGAGATGCAAATTAACTTCTTGTTAAAAGAATAAGCTGTTATCATGCATCAAACAACAAGCATGGGGAATGTTTGAGACCAACGTGCAGTTTTGTAGTTTACCTTACTTTTGTGGTAAAAGTCTTGCCAATTCTGATCATCTGATTGAGGCCTGAAATAAATGTTCACATTGAATCATAACTTGCAAGTATCGGATGCTGTCTGTAAAGATTTGTGCTGGGGAGTCTCCATTTAATTCATCACTTTTCACTAGTTTGTTTTCCTCTTCTTTGAAGCTGGAATATGAAAAATGATTCTCTTGTTGCAGGCTGCACAGACACATATCAGGACATTTTCATGGGATCTGTCCATTTCAAAGATGTTGCCTTAGCACACATCTTGGTGTATGAGAACTCATCAGCAACCGGAAGGCACTTGTGTGTCGAAGCTATATCTCATTATGGTGACTTCGTCGCCAAGGTTGCTGAACTTTACCCTGAATATAACGTGCCCAGGTAACGACGTCATGCTTCATGCACCTATAAAATCAATGGCACATGTGTATCTTTCTTCAAATTTTCCAATAGTATCACTACCTCTAAATCCTTACTTACTTGCATCTTGGTGTAGTTTGCCGAGGGACACTCAACCTGGACTGTTGAGGGCTAAGAATGGATCTCAAAAGCTGATGGACTTGGGGTTGGAATTCCTTCCCATGGAGCAGATCATCAAGGATGCTGTTGAAAGTTTGAAAAGCAAGGACTTAATTTCATGAAATGTAGCTTCTGAGCTGATAGCCCGTGTTGTATAATTAAAGAGTGAAAGACCTGTGTGAATAGTTTCAGGAGGAGAGACAGTAAGTTGTAACAATAACTCTTAAAGACATATCTGGTAGGAAAGATGGTTACTTATCCATAAATCCCAGATTCCACAAGGCAAACTATTAACCTTCTATTTTTCCATTGTTCGATTTTTAACTCGTATCATACCTGTTTTATAAGGTAGAGAAACACATTTCTCTCCCTTAGCTAACAAAAATATTTTTACCGTGATATTATAAAAATATCAATAAAAAATATATTTGCAAGGAAGGATCGAGGAACAGGTAAGTAGCGGAAGGAGGTGAAAAATTTATTCTCGGAAAATTATTTTACTCTCGTAGGGGATGTAAAAGAATTCTTTTGGATCAACAAGTTTAATTTCGTTTTATAATATTTGCTTCCAAACATGATATAATATTGGAAAGCACTTTGGAAAAACATTTTTGGCACAATTGGTATGGGGAATAACTAAGCCATTCCCCACTTAATTCTTTTTTCATTTTTATTCTTCTCATTTGGTTGGTTTTTGAGGTGAGGAATAATCATTCCAAATAATGGTTATTCCTCAAAATAATCATGTATTTACTATTTTAAGACTGTTCTTATCGACCAAATATCAAAATGAATTATAATAATAATTTTTATTTTATTTTATTTTATAAATTAAATTACATAATAATTATTATATTTTAGTTTTTTATTCTATTTTCATAAAATAATTATATTTTTTTATTCTATTCCAATCCGGTAATCAAAACGTGCCGTTTATAGGAAAATGCAGGGCCTTTTGTAATTTAGTACACGAAAGAATCTATGGCAAATATTAGCCGTTCTGACTGGTGGCGGGAGCAACGGATTCGCGCTCTGCTACAGCTCCTATGTTAAAAAGAAGAAGTAGAAGGAAAAAAGACTCATCGACCCTGAAAAAGAATAACTAAAATTCAGTCTTTGGATCTTGCGGTCTTTGCTTTTCCCTCAATGGCAGCTTCTCGACTAGCGGTTGCCCTTTCTTTGTTATGTTGCCTCTTCTTGCTCTGCCCATTTTCTTCAGCTTCCGAGATTACCCTTCCTTCCGATTCACACAAAGTGTCCTTGACTTTATACTACGAATCCCTGTGTCCGTACAGCGCCAATTTCATCATCAATTACCTAGTTAAGCTCTTCGAAGATGATCTGTTGTCGATCGTCGATCTCCGCCTCGTTCCTTGGGGAAACGCCAAACTCAAAGGCAACGACACCTTTGCTTGCCAGGTCTATTTTTATTACATTCGACTGTTTTTTCTTTTTTCTAAATTCGATAGAGATTTTCAACTGGGCTTTTGGTTTATTGTTTTTTCCCAGAAAAAAGGGGCAATGATTTGTTTGCATCTACTCTTCAGCCGTAAAGCTTTCCCTTTTTCTTTTATTGCAGCATGGTCCTGGTGAATGCTTGTTGAACACTATTGAAGCTTGTGCGATTGATGCCTGGCCTCAACTGGTAAATTTTTCCATGTTCTCACCGTGTTTTATAGTTGACTTCGCCTCAAAGTTTAAAACCCTTATTAGGATATGTTGAACTAATTGGAGATTTACTTCTTCGTGATTCCAACCTGTGAAATATGTAATAAGCGTTATGTTAAGGGGAGGATGTTGTGATGCAGAATGACCATTTCCCTTTTATCTATTGCGTTGAGACGTTGGTGTATGAGCGCAAGTACCTTGAATGGGAATCGTGCTATGGGAAATTGGGGTTGGATTCAAAGCCCATCTCAGATTGCTATAGCAATGGACTTGGGCTAAAGGTTAGTCTCTACTCTCTATGCTACAATTTGGCAGTGTTCGTTCATGTGATGTGAGCTGTATTTTGTTAGTCCTGTCAGTAGAATATTCTGTCAAAGTATATGTTTGTATTCACGTTTTATTCAACTAAACAGTTGAGATAGATGAATGTTTCTAAAGTGTATCCTGGTGCATGCATTAATTAGCCTTACAGAAGTTGAGCAAGGATCCACAACTTTGACTTGTAAGCTTATGATACTTTGATTTGAGATTTAAGGTGCATATGGGAAAGTGCTTCTTCATGATGCCAATATCCGTAATAGATAGACATCTGTGATTCTTTTGTTGTCGAACTGATTTTAGAGACGTAGCAATAACAGGCTGTTGTCTTATTTCCTGTCGTGATTTTATCTACCTGAAGAAACTTTGTACCAGAAGAAAAATGTTTCTGCTTTGCTGATTCCTATGAGGAACTCTGCTATTTGTTATGTGATTGTGTGCAAGTCATCATTGGAACAGAAAAAGAAGAAAGGCATAAATGAAATTTGGCCGGCTAGACTGAGTCAAAGTATAAAGAGGAATAGAAAGGACTAAGCACTGCTCAGCTGTACAATTGTTATGATCTTTAATGTTATTGTCTCTTCTAATAATTTGCTTTCATGTATTAACTCTTGAATTATGGATATTTTGACTGTGAATGAATGGTAAGCGAATAACTTCACAAGCACCTGCTATTATGTGTAGAAAACTACCACTAATAAGACTGGACTATTAGTGTGCTTAGAAGATATTATTCTAATTTTCAGAGAGTAGGTTGTTTGTCTTCCTTATGGACAATACGTTGCTCATGCTCATAATTTTAGGCATACCATGTCATAGTTTATGTCATGTTGACCAACTTCAACTATTTTTTGTTATGTTCTTTCACCTCTTCTGTTGTTTTCTTTACTTTATCATGTCAAAACATTTTATACCATGCATAATAAATTGGCTTAATAAGGAATTGTTATCTTTATGCAGCTTGAACTACAATATGCAGCTGAAACTAATGCCCTCGAACCTCCTCATACATATGTGCCTTGGGTTGTTGTGGATGGACAGCCACTTTATGAGGTTCGTTCCCTTCACTATCAGATCAATAGAAATGTATAACACTGCAACCCAGCTTCATTTTATCAATCCCAGGGCATTAGATGATCCCAATTATCTTGTCCATTGCTCAAATGTAGGATTTTGAACAATGCCAATATTGATCGTTATTCAATAAAAGGATGTAATATCTCTGGTTGCAGGACTATGAAAACTATATAAGCTATGTGTGCAAGGCTTATAAAGGTGCTGCTGTGCCCAAGCCTTGCAGTGGACTATCCTTCAATCGAATCTATGGTGAAAAATTAATCCATCCAGTATGCTATAAGGAGATACCAGCACCAACATTATTGTCAAGAACCATATCGTCTGTGATATCGTGGATATGGAAGATGGCGACTTCTATGTAATTGCTTTCCGTTTTATACATAATGCATAAATGTCCTAATATACTTTGCTGTTGCTATTTGATTGGATTCTAGTTAGATTGTTAATGTATATCGTCAGTGCAGTTTTTGCACTAGGACTGAACTGCATGTAATGTGGACTTTGATAAACCACTTATCATGACAGATCATCTGCAAAATACTATGTGTGTTGAAGGCACCTCTCAAGAAAACTGTTCTATTCCTTCTGCGTGAGAAAGCAAGTTTTGATGGTAGGTAAATCCCCCAGCCGCAGTTGTCGATATGTCCGAGTGGTTAAGGAGACAGACTCGAAATCTGTTGGGCCCTGCCTGCGTAGGTTCGAATCCTGCTGTCGACGACTAAAAACCATTTTGGGTTCTAGAGCAAAGCACATATTGGAGCTCTCCTCTCCTATGTAAATCATGACATGACGGCCCAACCCCATCAATTAGTGGGTTGTTTTCCTGGTTCCAAACCTCTGGGACCTCATGTTAAAACCAAGACAGCCCAACACACCCCTTCTCATGGCCCATGCTTTAACTTTAATGGACCACTTCCTTTCCCATTAGATCTTGATACATCAATTCTAGCTTCGGAACGAACTGTCAACACTCAAACAAGAAATGAGGAAAAATAAGATATAAACAGAATGTAGACAAAGTGATCACGGGGGCAAATATTGATTGTAACTCGTGATAATTAGGTTAAGGGGCACATGGAAATTTTTTGCAGTTAGTCAAAATGATCATGTAATCATGTGGGAGCCATTAGCCATTACCCATTCTCTCTACCTTTTCCTAGTTTTGTCCTCTTGTTCATATTTAGACAAATCTTTTGTCCGGGAACTGATCCTTCCATTGCATGTCCTAAGCACGTCTTCCTTTCTTTCTCTGTAAAAGCAAAAACAGGGTAATTAGGTTAAAGGCAAAGCCGGAGGGAAAAGAATAAAGGAGGCGGGAAGTGAGGATAAGAAAAGAGAGCAAAGGCCAGAGAGACCAAGACTATCATCATCATCATCATCACCACCATCATCAACATGCACCGTTTTTGTCAGAGAAATCTACGCCCCTGATATGCTGTCGGCGACCAAAACAACAGGTTTTCAAACCGGCAGGGACCCACACGTACTGTCCTACTCGCTCGCATTTGCATTTGCATTTTCCTTTCTTTCATCTTCCAATCTTTCTTGGGCTTTGGCTTTACTGCTTTTGCTTCCCCTCGTCAGACTTCTCTCCTCTCTCTCTGCTGTACGAAGGGTCCACCTCGCTCGTTACTTGCTTACCTTCAATTCAATGCAAAAACATTTTAAGCCCCAAACCCCTTCTTCTCTTGTAGATTATAGCCCTCTGCCTCCCAATTCTCCTCCGACCAACACCCCATTTTGCCTAACCATTTCTTCTCAAAATCAAAAACCTATATGCTTTATACACTATAATATATATGCCGTATCAGTCAATCTCGATTTAACTCCTAACGACGCTGACAGTGTTTGATTCATTGACAATAAAATGAATTTTTACGTTCACTATTCATTGAATATAAATTTATGGAACCTAAAATATCATTTAAAACTTCACCAAACTGAGGTAACGCAAGAGAGAAAGACAAAAGAAAGCTGAGAATATATATAAAAGGAGTATAAATACGGTGGTGGCTCACAAATCTTTGTACATTAAAAAATGCTCCTTTCAATAAAGATCAATATATATATATATATATATATATATTTCCCTTATAAAAAATCAAGAAGCTGATCGAAGCAACGAGAGAGAGAGGGAAAGCAGACAAATTTGCATCGGATCCTCTTAATATCCCACCGCAACGCCGTGGCATCCACGACAAATCACATACCATAAAATTCATTTTCTATAATAGCGGCTTTGCGAACGCTGAGGGAACAGACGACGTTGCGGCTCAGCATTTAATTTTCTTCAACTGTAGGCGCGCATGGATCAAAAGAGAAGCGTGAAATTATTAAGTAAAATAAAAGTATTAACCTCTACAAATCAAAATTAATCGAATTTGATTATTTCAATTCGATTTTTTCGATTCCGATATTTATCGGTTAAGCAAAAGTAATTGAATGGATTGAATAATTGTTCATTGATAAATCAGTCTCGATTTTTTTTATTTTTAATATATAATTATATTTATAAAGCTTAGTTAAATTCTTTTTAAAAATTTTAAAATTAAATTGACGAAATCATCCGAATCCAATACTCAACTTTAAAGCAAGTGGGCACAAGTTTAATTATTGAAATTTTCTTTTAAAAACAAAAGCGTCATCAATCACTTGTGAGAAGTTAATTGACATGAATTAATCGGTAAAAATAGAAATTAATCAAATTTGATTATTTCGATTTTGACATTAAAGAGGATAAGAATTATTAAGCTATTTCAATCAATTCATGATGTCCAAAATTTTTAATCCAATCATTTGAAAAATTAATCGTTAATAATATATTTTATATAAATATAATTAATAATTAAAATCGATCAAATCAATAAAAATAAATCAATTTGGATTAATTTTGATTTTAAAATCAAAGTGATCGAACCGTCAAATTCTCTTCTAGAAGCAAAGGCGTCATCAATCATTTGTGGGAACAGCTAAGCTTTTATTTGTTTGCATTATCTGATTTGTTTATTAATACAAGGGATCTGGGATTTACCTTTCCCTAACATTGTTCTTGGATAACATACGCAACTCAGCCCAATCTGACAATTGTTTACCCAATCCCTTTTAAGGCTTTCTTTTTCCTTCCTTTTCATGCACTAATTAATTCCTCCATTTGCTGAGTCAGTGGCGAGTGACAACCGAGTCATCACTTATTCCTTTGGCAACCCAAAGGGGGAACAACTTCCAATGGATGTGCGTTAATCTGATGTCTTAATCAACTTTTCTACAATCTTGTTAACTTTATATATAATATATATATGAATATAATCAAGTATTAATTCTATTTTAATAGTGTATATTTCAACTTTAATGATATGTATTTTGTATGTTGAAAGATTAAATAATTGTGACACGAGTGACTTTTAATGATAATAATGATATTTTTTTACTTTTAATTTTTATGCATATGTAACAAAATTTCATTAGATATAAACATTGAATTCCGGGGAACGTGATTCCTCGGAAGGAGGCAATGGATCGAGGAAAAAACAACATATATAAATTAAGAGTTACTCTGAAATAATAATAATTAATAATTATTATTAATATAAGAGATTGTGTAGGTAAGTAATTGACATCAACCTTCGTTTTCATCCAATAACACCAAGAGTTGATGAATTTATTATTTACAGGGTAATATGAATCCATAAGGAAAACAATTTTCTATGCTCTGATGGAAGGAGGAGCAAGGTCGTGATCAAGTCAAGTGGGGAATAGATTTTTTTAGATTATGAAATGGGAGTTTTATTTCCTAAATTAAAATTACAGGAATATTAAAAAAGAAATCGATTCAATTTCTTAGAGAATAAAATTTTTCGATTCGTATATGAAGGTTTGATTTACTAATTAATACATAATTTACTGCTTAAAAAATAAAATTCAAATCTTCTTTAATTAAACTAAAATACATTCCTTCAGCTCAGGTTTTTCTTTATTTTTTATCCTCTTGCAAATGAAAGAATGAAGAAGAAAAAGAAATAAAGAAACAATAAAGATGCCGGTGCAGCTACGTATCTTAAAAGCAAAGCTAAGTACAGCAACATTGCATCGTTGCATCAGAAGAGAAGGCCAGAGAAGGGCTCTTTCAGTGTCTTGAATCATAAATACAGAGTCAATATCTCTTAAAGACATGTATCCATACAGGGTCTTGTTGGACCCCTCTCCGCCCTTCTGCATTTTGGAAGCACTGATCTCCCACATCTAACTTAACAACACCATAATTACCGTAATTACTGTTAGGGTTTATGTCATACGTATACGTATATATGACATGTTTTAGTCAGCATAAGAATTTATTTAGATAGAGATTCATCAGGATACTAAAGGTATTTGAATGTGGATTCCTTCGAGGTCTCTTTCTTGTAACGGTTAAAAGCAAGCATGTGATTTATGATTGTACCATAAGAGGTAGAACATAAGTCTAATTTACCACATTAATATGCCTGACCATGAAATAAAAGCATCTGGTATGAAAAATCAAATCATCAATATGCATAATAATTGAATAAAGAAGTACCTTGTAATCACAGAGTAAGAAAAATAAATGAAAATGAAAGGAATCATTTAAACCCACATTGATTGACACCAGAAATTTAGAAGAGAAAAATCAAATCCCATTAGTCTATTTATTAATTTAATTTGGTACCCAAAAAAAAAAAA